TTATTATTATTATTATATTATTATTATTATTATTATTAATTGAAATCATATTATTTAATTACTTTTTATATTTTTTATAAATCTAATAAAAGTTTTAATTTCATTACAGAAGATTACAAATGTTTATTATATCATTACATATCTTTCACACATTTAATTATTTAAAAATGATTTAAAAAATTATTATAAAATTGTACTTGTAATATAATATAAAAAACAATAATAAAGTTTATTATATTTTATAATAGATATATAATACATAAAAATTTTTCAAATCAAGAAATCAATGAATAAATTAAACATGAGAATTGAAATGATTTTTATATTAAGAAATGTATTATGTAATATACGACAAAAAAATGTAATTACATTTAAATTCTTTACAGTATAGATATTTATCTCTTTTTAAAAATATTTTATAATATTAATTATAATTTTTTTTACTTATTAATTATATTGCTTAATAACAATAATAAAGTTGTATAAGATTTGTATACTTACCGAAAACAAGCGCAACAAGTCAAATTTTTCATAAGATAAAAACATCCAGAACATTTATGTAAATATAACATAAATAACCATCCGTAAATGGCTTCTGAAAGCATCATGTAGTGAATTGCATTTTCCAAGGACATCCATTTTGGCATATTTTTAAAAATTACAGCTGCGTCTAGAATAACAATTTATACGTCATTTTTAAAATTGTTTTTACATCTTTAATTTAAGATTTATATTTTTTTAATACATTCATCAAATCATTCAATTGTAGAATATACAATATCCTTTAAAATTAACTAAAACTCTAAAGAAAATGTAATTTGATTACATCTAACATTAATAGTTTTTATAAAGTATTTAAAAAATATCATTATTTTATTTCAGAATTTTTAAAATAAATCATACAATAAATTTGAATAGTGTTATATTTGTGATAAAAAATAAAACTTTTATTAAAAAGAATATAAAAATAGATTTGATAAATTATAATATTTAAGATAAATATAGCTTTTATTCTACAATTAAGAGTGTGGTTTTTATTATATTATATTCTATTTTTAAATAAATTATTTTTATATATTATTAAATAAATATTTTCAAATAAAATTATTTTTATATATTTTTGAAAAAATTATTATATTCTAGAACGAATAGATTTTGAAAATATTAGTGAAAATGAATATAATAAATATTTCATAACCGCAAAAGATTAAAATCTGAGATGAGATTTTTCATGATACGTAAACAACTATAATATTTGATTCAAAATCAAATATTCATGAGACAATAAAATTTTGTCTTTATTTAATTTACTTGTATAGAATATTCTGTACATATATGTCATAAATTTTTGTAGACTAAAATTTTGAAATAAAATTAAAATTAAATTGATAATAATTAAAATCATAATAAGAAGAATAAAATACATACCGGAAGTGCGTACTGGAGTAGGGGATAAATTTATTCGATGTAATTCATGACGCTCTCGCTTTTCTTGAACTCTTAACAAGATGAGTCCTGCGATTACATCCGAAGGAATTAAATCCGTCCCACGGCTTAAAGCGGATAACAAAGCTAGAAAATAATTTTATGATATTAAAATTATGATATTATTATATTATATTACTTCTTATAATATGTAATATATTTTAGTATGTGATAAAATATAAATATTATAATTTATTAAATAAAATTTTAATAACAACAAACTTAATAATAACAAATTTTAATAATAACATAATAATTTTAATAAACTTCAATTTGAAAAAATTTTAGTTAGTTGTAAATTACTTTCATTTTTTTTTTTTTTTTGTTTAGAATCAAATGCAAATAATCCTTTTCATTCTAAAACTTTGAACAATATAATCTTAATATTTTTCCGTGTGATAATTTTTTTTTTTGACAAATATATCTCATCTTATGTATTTAAACAAAAATTTTCTTAATTTACCAAAATTAAGTTGAAATTTTTTTAAATGTTTATAATTTTATCATTAATTTTATCATAATAAAAGAAATAAAAAAAGAATGACTTACAATTATATTATTATTTTATATTATTATTAATTTACAATTTTAATTAGATTTT